TCCAGGGTTGAGTTGGAAAAATTAGAGGGAAGTTCCACCAAGTGTTTTGGGTGGCGTGGATAAGATTGGGAACCTTTTTGGACCCCCTTTGGCAAAATTGGGAGGGGAGGTTGGCCCTTGGGTGTTGGTTCCTGGGGAAACAATGTTCCTTCCTTTGGGGGCGGGGTGTTAAATGTTTTACCCGTTAAGCCAGGCAAAAATAAGAGTCGTTCCCCCCCCCTCTTCGCCCTGGTACATAGGAACGCACAGGGAGGTTCCGCCCTGTCCTTACGATAGGGGGGCAACGGGCATGGACGCGTGGGGGGTGTCACATGTGAAAGAGACGTTTTTTGCTTTTTCCCTCACACACCCCCCCCCCCCCCCATATCGCTCCTCCGTCCCGGCATTGTAGGGACGCGAGGTCAATGGTCTAACGACTACGGCATGCGTGTACATGAGCATTAAATAGTACACTCACACACACACACACACACACAACTCCCGGCCCCCACTACTGCTGTTTTTCTGTACCTTGCCTTGCCTTGCCTTGCCTTGCTTTTTCCCGCCGCCGACTTTGTATTTCGCTTTTTTTTGTCGTGTGTAGACCCCGGGCTGTTGCTGTCGGCGGCCGTGGAAGCTTGGTGCCTACCGGACGTGCACGGGCCTTGCCGCCTCCCGGGATCGGTTCTGGAGGGGGGGGGCACCGCGGACGAGAACGAGGCGGCGGCGGCGGCGGCGGCGGCGGGGGAGGGGTCGGGCTACCGCCGCCGCGGTCGGCGGCAAGAAGAAGAAGACTACGAGAGCTTGAGCTCCTTGATATCGATGGTGAGGGTAGATCTTTTCCGTTTTGTTTTGTTTTGTTTTGTTTTGTTTTTTTCGGTCTGCGTAGTTTCTGCGGATCGTTGTCGGTACACTCACTACTGCTGTTTCGTCCACGGGTACGAAGGGGTGCGTGCGAGTGCGCGTGCGTGCGAGTGAGGGTGTGTTTGGCCGAAGTATGTACGGATGTGCCCCCGAACGCCTGATTGGTGGTGTTCAGTATCCACACTTGACACTGTTGGTGATTCGTTGGTCCGTGTCGTTCGTCCTTCCTTGCTTTGTTCCGGTTTTTACTGCTGTACTGCTGCACCGACTGATGTACTAAATACTATTCTGCTGTACTTGTACTTAGTCGGTGTTTTAGTGTCAGGGCGGGTGTGTGGGCGTTGTTTGGCCGGCCTTAAGGCTCGTCGAAGTGCTTGGCTGACTGGCCTGATACATATCTACGTGCTTTCTTCCTTTTGGCTTGCTGTCGTTTTTCGCTTGTTTGCGTGCTGTGTGCGTGTGTTTTTTTATAAGGTTTTCCGCGCGATGGGT